TTTTAAAGGAAATAGAGAAGAAATTGATAAGGCTGAAAATGAAATAATTGACAAGTTTTTTCCATATTTTAACGAAGTTCCAAATTATGACAATACAAAATTAGATGAAAGTAATTTTAGCATATTGGTGGAAGGTATTTTGTTGGGATTGTAAAAATATTGCTGAAAGCAGAGCTGTCCGTAGAAACGATAGGGTTGTATCCCGTAGGTTGTACCCCGTCCCCAAAAGTCCCCCCTCTTCCTCCACCCCATTGGCGCTGCCTCCCCGAACTTTTTCCTCATGCCCTCCCCCCTGCCCTCATCGGGGAACAACCCTAGTCCGAAAAAAAATCCGAAAAAAAAATTAAATTTAAAAATTTTTTTTTGAATTTAATATTAGAAAAAAAGATCAAAAAATCCTAATTAATTTTTTAAACGAAACGAACATTTCTGACAGCTCTGTATTTGTAATTATATCGACACAAAAGATTGATTTTGAAATTTTTTTAGTTATATGTCATACCTAATTTTAGTCCTAACCAGAGGTCGGTCGGAAATGACCGAGGTACCGGAAATCGTAAATTGCTCAAAATCGGAAATCGGAGATCAGCTTAATTTTGGAAATCGCAAGGAAATAAACGTCGGAAATCGGAATTCCGACGACCTCTGGTCCTAACCTCTATCCTATATTCAAATATTCAATCCTCTTCAATGAAGTATTAAAGAATTTTGGGCAACAGGCAAACTTTTGCCCATATTAATTTAGTCTTCTAGCTATTTCGGAATTATATACATATGTTAAATTACAAATATTTTCAAGACAAGTCCTCTGAATTTGAATACTCTTAATTATATTATTCCAAATCTAATTCGTTATGCCTTAAAGTATATAAGAGCTCGATATCTCAATTTTGAACAAAAATCTTCTAACAAGTTGAAGACCATCGTTACCCTCTTTCCATATACTCAAACACTACTAAAGACCGATATTTTGAATGGCCATAACTCGGCACAAGGTCATTTTGCAAACATTTTCCTAGTAGCTTTTTGCGACATTAGAATTCCAAAGATTGCCAAGCCTCTAATATATGTACATATTTTCAACTATGTAATTTAGAAATTTTTATAACTAAATCCTGTACCTTTTAAATATTTTATGTAGAATAACAATTTACATTTACGAACTTTTCTTTATATTATCCCGATAATTCTTTTCATTAACGACCTTTCTTTATATACATAAAATCATAAATTTATCAGTATTTATTTTTAAGTTATAAAATTTTGAACAAGCATACTTCTTTATTTAAAATGCTAAATTAAATGAAAAAGTACCCTTGAGATTTCGCTAATAATTTAAAAAATATTTATCCAAAAAATTTTAAATTAAAACATCACAAATTTTATAAAATTTAGCAAATTTATAATTTTTAGAGCCAAATTTAAGCCATTGGTGCTTTTAAACAGATATTTGAAGGCTCTGAAATCCACTTACATATAAAATGCGTGACAGCGTCAATTAAAAAGTTGTTTAAAAGTAAGAGTTTAGCAAAAGTTAGACACCGAGCAGGATTCGACCCTGAGACAACGCCCCCTTACACAGAAACGGGATTCAAAAAATGTTTATAAAAAATCAAAAATGAAATAATTTACAAATCTTAATTTAAGATGTTTTAAAAATATAATTTGTTTCTGTTAAAATTCTCTGTTGCTATAAAATTTTTAAAAAAACTTTTCAACAAATCTACACATGTGCAAATCGAACTCTTTCAAAAATTTTGTTTTCAGTTCTGTAACTTGTTCAGTTCATCCAATAATTTTTTTGCATTTGGTCTCTTTTTTGCTTCTTTATCCAAACATTTCTACAAAAATTTTAGACTAATAAATAAATTAATTAAATCTTATTTGAATGTTTACCGACTTTTTTTTCTTATTTTTCCCCATTTTTTCCAAATACATTTGTGGATTGGCTCCAAGATTTGGTAGCCCAACTCTTAAGAAATATACTTATCTATGAACCTTCCAGTAGGCTCTAATTAAAATGTGTTTTTTATCGAAATTAAAAAAAAAATTTAAAAAATTTTCTCCTTTCAGAAAGATTTGGTTCTATTTTTTTGTTTTTTACATATGTAAATTCTTTTGATTTCCTTCTTGTAGGAGTTTAATCCGTAAAGCTCGCTATTACCCTATTTTTATTTCCTCTTATAATTGGTCATTATGATTGTATAAATTTTTAAAGATTTTTTGTCCGGGTGAATATTTAGTTACAAGACTTTCCCTATCTTTTTGTCGCGCGAAAATTAGCAGTACTTTTTTATTTCAGTTTGGGTTCGGTAGTATAAAATATTAATCCGGCAAGATTTATACTTATTAAATAGAGAATTAAATGGAGTATTTAATCAAATAAAAAAATTTTTCCTAAAATGAAATTTTAACTGAAAAAATGGTTAATTTTCATTTTAGTTACTCTTGCCCCTATCTTTATGTCGATGACTGTATAATAATTACGTCAACAAGGTCGTCAAATTGTTTGCAAATTTTGGCATCAACAGAATTTCTCAAATTCGTAGGTTGGGCCATTAGTTTATATCTATATCCAGAATCGATGGCAGTTCTCATGTTTTCCAGTTGCATATAAATAGGAGTTCCTTCCTTTATCTCTATCATAAACGGATAAATGTAGTACTTGGTTCCTTTTTTATAAACAGCTTGGCTTATCAAGTAAAACGTCAAAACACCAAATGACCAAATATCTGACTTTTGAGAAAGATCAACCTGTTAATTTAATTTTTTAATTGAAGATTTAAACTATTCTTTAGATTTTATAAATAACTTTGTGTATTATGAGTTATATTGAGATGTTCAAGGAAACAGACAATATTAAAATTCCCCTATACATATTATTTGTGTTATCCCAGTTAAGTTCCATTGTTGTGTCCGCACTTACAGAAAAATTATAAATGAAAATAAATAACCCATTATTGTGTTGGATGTTGGCACAGTCGATTGTGCTTTCGGTTTGGGCCCTTTCCGTGATGGTTATATTCCATCTCCTATCCAAACAATTTTTCCACAGCAGGAACATTATTCCATTTATCGAAGTAAAAAAGATTCACAAGATTTATTTATCTCTTAAGATTTCCTAAATTGCATAAACAAATTAATTCAAAGGTTATTTTTTTAAATGATATTACACATAATATCATTTTTAAGAGGATTAATTTGTAAACCTTTAATTTTTTATTAATTTAAATCTTTTTTAAATTACTTTTTCATAGTTATCAATCTTGTATTGTTCAAAACTCATATATTGAGGCGTTCCAGATAAACCTTTCCCTTTAACTATTAAATTTGAGCGGCACTCATTTTTATCCCATTTAAAAAAGCATTTCTTTTTAACTTCATTTTCATCAAGAATTTTAGAAATACCAAAGTCAACCAATTTTAAATTTATTTCGTCTCCATTTCCTTCAATATAAACCAAATTTTGTGGTTTTAGGTCCAAATGAAGAATATTATCTGTTAAAATTTTTATAATAAATCTGTATAATGTAAAATACAGATATTATGTTAAACGTCTCTCGAAGAGTGAGGTTTAAAAATTCAGGATTTCACTTCGAGGTATATTTAATTTTGCATGATTTTTCTATACTCTTATTTAAATTTTGAGGTTTCAGTTTCCGGAATTTTAAAATTTTATTCTGTCTATCCTTTTTTACAAAAATACATTATAATTTCAAGTTGGGAGCAGGGAAACGTACCGCTAGCTCAACGTACCGCAGAGCTATAACTTCGTTCAAAATAGTTGAATCCGGGACACCTTGGTATGGTTCGATGCATCTCGGCGAGCTGAATCGAACCTTATCAGGGCGTCCCGGATTCGAACATTTTGAACGAAGCTATAACTCTGCGGTACGTTGGCTTCGCGGTACGTTGGGGTGCACTCTTTCAAGTTCGTGAAGAAATTATTTTTCTTAATTGAGGAGGTCAGAGGAATGAAAAAAATTTTTTTTAATTGTAACTTTTTAAATTTAATGCAAATTCGCAATAATTTTTTATTTAAATTAATTAAAATATTACAGCTATGCAATTCCTTTAAAATTTTTGCTGTTTGTTTAACAATATTCTTAGCTTGAAGAACAAGTTTTTGTTCATTTTTATCATCTTTTACAAGATCTTTCCAATAAGAATCAAAAGGTTTCCCTCCATATTCAAGAACAAGTACATAATTAGTAACTTCCTCCTCCCCTTCATTAGAAGAAACTTTCCATTCTCCACTAAAATTTAATTTAAAATTTTTTTAATAATGTTAAAAGTAGAGTTGAAATCTTGACCGGATCCGGTCCGGATTTTCCGGATCCGGTAGTCCGGAATCCGGGTATTTTGATGAAACCCGGATCCAGATTTTGATCCGGAAAATCCGGTCCGGGTCGCGTCCAAAAATTCCGGTCCGACCAATCGGTCAAAAAAAATCCGGTCCGGGTCTGATACTCAAAAAACCCCGGATCAGATCGTTAATTCAAAAAAATTTTTTTAACAAAGTTAAAAGTAAAAGATAAATAAAAAATTTTCAAAAACTCTTACTAATTATAAAGCTCAATTATTTTTGAATTTTTAACTTTATTTTTTTGAATTTCAGATTTTATTTTCATTAAAATTTTCTTTTCATTTTTGTATTCATATATTTTTTGGCTATCAAAAACTTTCAAAATAACACAATATACTTTTCCGTTAGTAAACGATTTACCAGTATATATCTAGAAATTAGTTAAATTAAAGATAATTTTATATATGAGAGCCAGTTTCAAAACTAAAATTATATACCATTTGATTCATCTCGATCTGAGTATATCTAGAATTTATTACCAGGGAAACACACAGTTTTCAAATGCTTATTTAAATTTTGTGGTCAAAAATTTTAAAAATTATTTCTCGATTATATGACTTGAGACAGCAAGTCGATAACAACTTAATGACCCCACCACATGGTTACAATTTTTTGCTAGAGGAAGACGAGTTGAATGACTGTTCCCGCGATACGCCTCGTTTCAAAACCAGTCCGAATCGAAAGCCTGGAATCTTCAAAGGACCTCCAAAGATATTCCAAAACCCGACCCCTTATAAACAACCTTAGCTTTTCCTTCAGGAATAATTCTTCCTTCTTTGCTTTTATTTTCTTCTTGATCTTCTTTATCTGTGTAATTGTATTCAATTCCATTAATTTCCACTACTTTATCAAATTCCCTTTCATCATTTTCACATTGATCTTTCGGTTGTTCATTTATAAATAACGGACGTCTTACAAAATTCCCTTCAATTTCTTCAATTTCCTCAAATATCCGCGCAGACTTTGATTTTTTTAGACAAAAAATGTCGAGACATGAACTACTATTTTCTATTACATCTAAATGTTTTATTTTAATTTTGTGTTAAAATTTGCTAGTATTTAAATTTAAAATTTTAAATCTAATAGGGAAAATTTTGGTTGGTTATAAGTTATAAATAATTTTTTTTCTAATTTATTTGAAATTTTTATTAGTTGATTGTAATATTAATGTAAATTAAATCCTTAGTCAAAAGAGGCCACTTAGGACGGTATCAGAATATTCTCGGGCATCAATAACAGAAGAGGAGTGCGCGACATAGAAGGAATTTTCGGAAGCGTTTGGAAGCGTTCGGAATTTTCGGAACTTTTTTACGCACCCTGTAAATCTACTATAGGTATTACAAAAATTGCAGATTTTTTGAATTTAATATCCGCAATTGTCTATGTATAATCTACTTTTCTTTAAGAATTTCTTTTAAAAAAATTAAATTTAAAATCCGAATCAACATAAAAATTTTAAATAAATCCAAATACCGAACAATAATTTTTATAAGAAATTATTTACAGAATAAAAAAATTTAATAGGAAAACTTACCAAAAATAACAAATTCAATTAAAACAAAGAAAATAAAACATTTGTTAAATTTTTTGAAAAATTTTATCCTCATTTTAGATGAAAAGTTGTTGAGGTAGATTAAAAAATATTTTTATATGCTCCAATGAGGAGACAAAAATTTAAATTTTTGAATTTCTATTTTTGTTAAGTAATATTCAATTTTTAATAAAAAATCCTTTAAATTAAAAAAAATTAAATTTTAAAAAGCTATAATACATAAAATAAAAAATAATTTTTTAAGCAACAATGAATGTCGATTTTAGAGAGGAGGGGGGGGTAGTTAAGGAGAAGAATGGGGCAGGGGAGTAGGGGGTAGTTAAGAGAAGAAAGGGGAGAGGAGGAGGGAGGGGGAGAAGAATGGGGAGGGGAGGGGGAGTGAAGGAGGGAGGTGTAGGGAGGGAGGGTGTAGTTAGGAGGGGAAGAGGGGAGGGGGGAGTAATTATTAATGGAGAAAAAATTCCCCACGCATTGCAATTTTTCTTTTTTCTTTTGTTGTCTCTCAATATGAAGCATGTAAAAATTTTAGAGGGGGGATATAAAAAAAGTGGAGAGGAGAGGGGAGAGTCGAGAGGCAAGAAGGGAAGAATCAATTCATCATATGAGAGGATTCACGAGAGAATGTGATTGTCTTAATCAATTCTTCGATTGTTTATTGCCTCGTGAATGTTGTTAGAGGATTTTTTAAAAATTAATGTTGAATAAAACAAAAATATTAATTATAATATTTTAGTGAATTCGGGGCCTAGAATTTAATTAGGGAAATTTAATAATAAAATTAATCGGCATAAAAATAACTTCCCAAAATTATGTACTGAAGTATCCGTGTAATATGCTAAATCTCTCATTAGTTTAATATTCTAGGTGATTAAATAATTGGCAATTCTAATTATTTGAACATTATTATATAACTTAAAATTTTAATTTGACTGATTTTAATAAATTAAAAGGAAGTCATTGCCAAATAATTGATTATTCAAGACTCATTACGGAAATAAATTTGCCCTTTTTAGTGGGGTGCCTGGCACTATTTGTGAGGGCTTTTGGTATTCATTTTATAGACATAGAATTTCTTTATTTTTATCCTTTTTTTATTTCCGACTTTTTAAAGAAAGTTTTTTTATTTTAAAGTAAAATTGTTAAAGAAAATAAATTAAATAAAAAAGATTAAAAATTAGTTAGTTAATTTTTCTTTTCACAGCAAGCAACCCCCTTTTTAAAATCCAAATTTCCATCAAGTTCTTCTCTTCTACGAACAGAAGATTTTGATTTTCTTCTAGGATGATCAGCATGGAAATGAGGAATAAATTCTTTATCTAAAATAATTTTTAAAAATATCAAAGAAACAAAATGAAAATTAAAATTTAACGAATATTTACTTATAAAATAACAATTGCCCTTATAAAATAACAATCTTCTAATAGTACGACTCTCTATAATAGACCGAACCCTTCTAATAAACCGACCCTCTATAGGATGGTTGAAAAATAAATCGTCGCACTATTAGAAGATTGTGCGACGATTTATTTATATTTGAATTAAGTTCGTAAATTTAGCATTTGAAGTGAATTATAAATTTAACCAAAATAAGGCTAATTTTAGTTTTAATGGCCAAAACTATTGTAAGGATGATTCACCTAGCAGCATTTAAAACGCTTAGGCGGGGGATAAACGATCTAAAAAAGAAAAAGAGAAAGCATTAGTCGATGCCCCGGTAGCTCAGAGGTAGAGCTCCTGCATATAGTGAGCGAAAGCGCCTAGCAACAACTAGCAGGTGGTCGCAGGTTCGAATCCTGCCCGGTGGCTAAACTTTTGCAAACTCTTTCTCTATATACTTTCTCTAATATATGTATAAAAAAGAATCTTATAACACAAATTAGGGTTGCGCGAAGTTTATAATAAATACAATATTATGCCCGAGCAACGATTACCGACACTGACACAGTTTATAATTTACTAATTAGTAAAATATTCCTCTCTATGCCTTCCTTAGAAGCAGAGGTGGGTCGGAACAGTCAGAGGTGTCGGAAATCGGAACTGTCGGAAATCGGAAATGGCTCAAAAGTCGGAACTCGGAAATCGGAAATCAAAATTTTTTTTCGGAAATCGGAAATCGGAAGGAAAAAACGCCGGAAATTGGAAATCGAAAGGCGGAAATCGGAAATAAAATTTTTATTTTCATAACTGAAATGTATTTAAAATTGTAAGGTGGCAAATTATGGGCCTTCTTAAGTGTAATTTGAGGGTGTAAAAGTTCTTTTTGCAACTCAAAAGCCAAATTCGAAGGGATTAAAAGAGATATTGTGGGATTTGGTAGATTAGAGTGAATTTAAGGAGAATTTGAAGGAGAATTTGATCAATTTCAAAACTCCAAATCTCGTTAAAAGTTAATTACTTCATATTTTCATACCAATTAATGAACGTTTATATTCACTATCAACATTAAGAATGCCCATAACACTTTGATCGAACCGATGACAACTTCCAATTGTTGTTCTAGGTGACGTACAATATAACTGAGAACCCTCAGGATGAATACATTGTTTCGTTGCTGCGCAAAGAAGAGCCCTAAAGTTAATGTTTCGATAAAAAATAATTGCGAACAACTTGTTTTTAAATTTATAGGTACACTCCGATGTACCGAGAGCCCAATGTACCGCCGAGCTATAACTTTGTTCAAAATTGTCGAATCCGTGGCGCCCTGGTATGGTTCGATGCGTCTCGACTAGCTGAATGGAACCATACCAGAACGTAACGGATTCAACAATTTTGAACAAAGTAATAGCTCGGCGGTACATTGGGCCTGGCCTGCTGCCTAAATTTACCATTTAAGAAAATTTTTTGTATACTCGCTTTTATGTAATATAATGAAATTTGCATCATACATTTCAACATCCCATTTTTGATTTTCAATTTTAATCCAATCAGTAATAATCGGTGTGTAGGTGAACATTCCTTTTCATTAATTTAAGATTTTTTATAAAGTAAAGTGTATACTTACTCAAATTAGTTGCATATTTTATACTATGACCAGTACCTAAATTGAAAAAAAATTTTTAATTTTAACTATTTGAATTTATTTTAATTCTGTTTTTCACTATTTTTCTGGAAAGGAAAAACTAAACAAAAAGATTTAGGAAAAAGGGAAATCAAGCTGACTAGCATTTTAAAGCGCTTATTACTATGAGGGAAGGTTTTAAGGAATATTAAAAGTAATGAAATCAATCGGAACATTTCCTTTAATGCTGACCCTCTTACACAGTTTGCAAAAGTTCCAGTTCCGGAACTGTAACCGACGAAATACAAAAAGCAGTTCTAGAACCTGAACTGGAACCAAAGAAAATAAAAAAGCAGTTCCAGAACTGGAACCGTTTCCAGAGAAATTTTGGTACTTTTGCATCACTACTCTTACAGCCAATTCTCGATAAAAGCTAAAAAAGACGGAAGAAAATTGTCAAAACGGCAATTTGTAAAGTATTCAGAAAAAATTACCTCCAGGAAAAACCATCTCAGAAATTTTTCCTTTTTCAATAGCCTCAAATATTGGATCCAAATATTTTTTATCTTCTAGATTAATTGAAGTATCCATCCACATAAATGTGTCATATTGTGTAAATACTTGCTTAAATTCAATTTAAAAATTAATTTATTTTTAAATAATTTCTAGACAAACAGATAAAATATAAATTTTCCATGCATAAGTTTGTGGAGAATGAACATCTTTTGGCATAATACTCCAATTATATTTTCTCAATTCTAATTCACAGACGGAATTTAATTCCTTCATCTTTTTGAAAATAAATTAGTTAAAATATTCAAATAATAATTATTTTATACTAAAACTAATTACCGTATAACCTGTATTAATTGCCCTCCTTCAAATATTACCCCACTTCCATTAATTACCCCATCCAGCGATAGATTGGAACAATAATTACCCCCACAAATGCCCTAAATCACGTTCAAATTTTAAACCTCGTATAATTACCCTCCCTCAGTTAATTACTCCCTCCACCGGAAGGTCGAAACAATAATTAGCCAGGGTAGTTATTAAAGGCAATAATTAAATAATTATAATAAAAAAATAATTATAATAATTTAACAATAATTATTATTATAACAATAATTATTATTTATTTTCGTGGTCAACGTAAATCCTTAATTTTTATTATTTAATATATACAATAATTTCTCCAAAATAATTACCATATTTTTATCTTCACTAATTCCTCCAAGATCATAACAAATAATTTTTTGAGAACAACCAAAATGTTGTTTCATGGAATATAAAAGTTTCCTTAATGTTGGAAAGAAGCCGGTAGAGGCGGCGGTAACAATAGTAAATTTTTTGTCACCTGGCTTTTTTACCTTAAATTTAAAAATTTTTTTTTAGAATTGTAAGGCGGAAATAAAATTGAGAAATATTAAACTAAGTTTCACAGCGACCCCGCCTATCCATAACCATTATAATCCTAGGAATAAGTGGTTTTTTAGTGAAGTTTTTTCAGTCAGTCCATCAGGCAGTCAGTTAATAATAAAAGTGAATTAATATATTTATTGCCCGATCGGAGGAATAAGTCGTTGCCCATGTAATCGCTCTTAAGGAGTAAGCGGTGAATATTGTCCGGCCAGACTAACAGGAGTAATTAATTAATATTCCCTCATATTATATTATTCTGGGCTCTACACTGGGTATGGATTCAGCAACCTTCTTCTGAATTTTCAAAAATTAAAAAGAAAACTAACGGGTATTTTTTGTTTAATTTTGTATTTATCAGCAATTTTATATTTATTTAATATTTTTAAATGTTCACAATCAAATTTTCTTCCACTAACCAAATTCTCTGTTAATTTATTATTTTTTCGTATATTAAATGAATATGCCATCTTTTCTCCACAACATTCTAATCTCAATTTTGTATCAGAACTTCTAAATAAATAACTTATTTTTTAAATAATTAAATTTTATCATAAAAGAGACTTTACAAATTTATTCCGTCCGATTACAGTCAGTTAAGTAAAACTCATGAATTAGGCACAATTAATTGTAGATTTTACCGGTCTCCTAATTCTCGGTGTATCTATACCAGTTCTGGGTATGGCTCCGGTAGCTAGCTCCGGAGCTGGCTCCGCGGAGCCGGGAGCTAAAAACCTGGAGCTCTAAAAACCTGGAGCCGCACAAGTGCCCTATACCCAGCACCCATCTATACATTTCGTAATTTTCGAGCCAAATGAACTTTCTATTTTTTAATTTTAGCGAAGTTAAAGTTTAGTTTAAATGCTAGTATAGTTTTGATGTTTAAAGCTTATGTTATTCCAATCAACTTTTCAAACCAGGGATGTCACGGGTTGATAAAAAGTCGAGTTTCGGCTACTCGTAACATTCCTACTTCAAACTTCACTTAATAAAATGGCCTCTAAATAAGACTTATAAATAATACGTTTTGATTAAACAACAAACTTGTTTTTATCATTCTCAATACATCCAGTTAAGCTTTGTTTGTTTTCAATAATTTCATCCATAAAATTAGTTTTTGTTTCCATTTTTAAATTTTTATTGAAAATAAAACTTTTGGTAGTCCATTTTTGGATTAAAAAATAAAAACAAAAAATAAAAGTTAAAAAGAAAATCCAAAATATTTTTGAAAAGCAAAATGCAAAATGAGTTCTTCCATTTGAAATAATAATTTTTCCATTTAATAAATTATACATTTTAATTTTAATTATCTAAATAGGTATGTATAGTCATAGAATGCTTGATTTAAATGTAGAATTTGTTATGTTTTATAACCTCTGATTAAAACCTCTGACATTTCGTTTATAACAACGAAAAATTTTTTTTCCGTTGATTATACTCGCTACACTACACCCTTGGACATAAAAATTCTGATCGGATACTTCCTGTCCCTTTATCGAGATACAAATTTTTTGAGCGTGTTAAAATTTTTCGGTCACTGAATCACACGGAAAATGATTCGAATTTTGAAAAATGCCGGATCCGGTTTCCGGATTTTTAATTATTTTTCCTATCCGGACCGGATTTTTCGATGGTTTTTCGATTTTCAATCGCCTGTATCTCTGCGAGTTTTCGTCTCCGGCAGAAAATTCTTGCATATTTGAACTCAGCTCGGCGAGAAGAATCGAATAGTATATACTACATATGAGTTCGATCTCGGTGGACCTATACTATAGCGACCCCAATATATTCATATTACTTTTTGTGTGAATAAGTTAAGGATTAATACTTATATAAACAATAAGACTCCAACTTTTTAAATTTACAATAACCTAATAAAGTCCTGTATCTTATTCATAAATCACTAATAATAATTACTGTTATGTACGTGACTTGTGTGTCTACGTACTAACAAAGAATAACACAAGATAAGACAGTAACTAACAAACTGTGCTTTATCTACAATACTAATTACAACAAGGGCGAACAATAGGAATATGGCTAAACGCCGAATACGTGGAGACAGAATATAATAAGAATAGAATAACACTGCGACAATAAGACTAAGACCGCGACTGAATAATAGGAAGGCTTTTATACTAAGCCAATACCCAACACCTCCCTCCTTTAATAAGAATAATTTTCTCTTGAATAAAATAATACCTCCGAATAATGTCTCCAATCAACAAAAAATACATACAAAGGGGCCAAATACAATAATTACAAAAGGGGGCAATACAAAAAAAATACAATCAAATAAAATATTATCACAACAAAAAAATATTATCTCAAACCCTAAGCATCCATGCTAATACCGCTCATCTCTTCGTCTTCATTCTTCTCATCAACGGAGTTCGGCTCATCTCATCTTCGAAAAAATTTGAATTGGTTCCTCTCGATACCTTTTTTGAGTAGTATTCTCTACTACTAATCTTTTTGGTGGTCGAATTGTTCTTTTAGGTCTTTCGAACCGAATTTCATTATCTTTACTTTGAATTGTACTCTTTTCATTTTGAATTGGAATATTTTGAATATTTTTATTCCGAATGTGTTCTGGAGTTCTCCACCAAAAATTTACTACTTGTTGGTTCTCAAAATTTTTTATCTTTCTTAATTGGTTTGCGTGTCGGTGAATAATAGCTCTTAATTTATCTGAGCGAATCTTGAATACAACACCATTTTTACTAATTATCTTTCCAGGCAGCCATTCAATTTTTTTATTTCTGTTGTAGTTTCCGAATAGAATATTATCTCCCACTTCGAATACGTTTAATTTGGTTCCGTGATGTTTATCGAACCAAATTTTCATTTTATTTCGAATATCTTCTCTTTGAATGTTAATTGAATTTCCTGGTTTTTCTGGTTTGATTAATGATAATTGAATTCGTAATTTCCTATTTAAGAATACTTCTGCTGGCGATTTTCCGCCTAATGAATAATGTGGGGTGGCTCTATAATTCAATAGTACTTCTTGTAGCCAATTACTCTTTCCCCAATTTTTGTTCATCATTCTCTTAAAATAATCTACGAATCTCTCAGCTTGACCATTAGACTGAGGATGATATGGTGGGCTGAATATTTGGTGAATTCCTTTACTAATACAATAATTTTTGAATTCGAATGACTGGAATGGACTTCCGTTATCGGATACAATTACTTTAGGAATTCCGTAATGCGAGAATAACCATTCCAGGTTTTTTATTGAATCTTTTGCTGATGTAGTCGTATTTCCGAATATTTCAGGCCATTTAGAATACGCATCGACTATAATCATATATAATTTCCCATCCTTACATGGACCAGCAAAATCAATATGAATTCTTTCCCAAGCTTTATTTGGTGCTGGCCATGGACTTAATTCTGTTTTAATTGGCCTTTTTGATGCCTTTTGGCATGAATCACAATTTGCAGCGATCTGCTCAATATCGATACTAATACCAGGCCAGTAAATATATTCTCTGGCCAAATTTTTCATCCTAACAACTCCTGAATGTGTTGAATGTAATGAATCAAGAATCTTTTTCTGAAGTTTAGCAGGAATAACGACTTTATCTGCGAATAGAATACAACCATTAATTATCTGAAGGTTTTGTCTTCTTGTTGACCAAAATTTTAATTCCGAATCTTCAATTTTCTTTGGCCAATTATTATTTCGAATATAATCTATGACTGTTTTTAATTTAATATCATTGTCCGTCTCGATTTTTACTTGGTTACTATCGATTGGTAACTCTTCGAATATAATATTTAATACGTAATTAACTGAATTCTCAACTTCATTTAATTCATCGGGTGGACCACTGTCGAATGTGTTAGAATCTGAGATTAAAGCAATAATCTTATCTTCATTTTCTGAATTTTTACTAATTAATCTTGACAGGCTATCTGCCATGCCCATTTTTTCTGTAGAGACGAATTCTATCTGAAAATCATAATTTGTCATAATCAATGCCCATCTTTGTAACCTTGAGGCCGTTTGAATTTTAATTCCTTTTTTATTTCCGAATATTGCAAGTAATGGTTTATGGTCAGTTCTTAATTTGAATTTCCGACCGAATAACATTTTATGGAATTTCTGAACGGCGAATACTAATGCTAAGGCTTCCTTTTCAATTTGTCCATAATTTTTTTCCGAATCA